GGGTCTGTGTTGCTTAGTATATCTTCCCAGCTTATATCGGTTAGGACTTGGTTTACTTGGTCCCATTTTATGTTTTTGTTATTGAAGTTGAATTTGGTGAATGCTCCCTCGTGACTAATCTCATTATGTCGGTCTGGGGCTCCACGCATACATGTCTGAACCTCAATTATGTTGTGATCTGAGTATATTGTTTTTGATATGGTGACATTTCTTATCAGATCATCATTGTTAGTGAAGATGAGGTCTAGTGTATTCTCCAGTCTAGTAGGCTCTATTATTTGCTGGTTTAAATTGAATTTTGTGCAGAGATTTAAAAGCTCGTGTGAGTGTGAGTTTTCATCAGAGCTGCCTCCTGGTGTTATTACTGCAACAATATTATTTGCTATATTCCCCCATTTTAGGTGCCTTAAGTTGAAATCCCCCAGGAGCAAGATGTTGGGTGCAGGAGCTGGAAGATTTTCCAGACAGTGGTCAATTTTTAACAGCTGTTCCTGGAATTGCTGGGATGTTGCATCTGGAGACTTGTAGACTACCACAATGACTAGGTTTTGGTTCTCGTCCTTTACTGCTAAAACTTCCACTACATCATTTGAGGCATTAAGCAGTTCTGTGCAAACAAGTGACTCTGCAATGTACAGGCCAACCCCTCCCCCCTTTTGCCTGTTCACTCTGTCACATCTGTATAGGTTGTAACCTGGGATCCATATTTCGTTGTCCAAGTGATCCTTTATGTGGGTCTCAGTGGAAGCCGCGAACATTGCCTTTGCCTCTGCAAGCAGTCCACGGATGAAAGGTATTTTGTTGTTTGTTGCTGGCTTTAGACCCTCTATATTTGCAAAGAAGAATGTCATCGGACTGGTGGTATTGTTGGTACTGGGGAGGGGGGATTTTTTTTCCGGCATTAGTATCTGTATCTGTTGGTTTGGAGTGGAGGCCATCGACTGTGGTTCCACTCCAGGAATGACTGGATTTGGTGTACAATTTCTGCCATTTCCTGCCAGGTTTTTTTCCTTTCTGGCACTAAAAAACCTCTCCCTCTTGAGTTCCTTTGGCTACTCAGGTTTTCCCATGGCCTGGATGTTTTGTATCTTTTTTGTCCCCTTTAGATGGTGTGCCTGGCAATTTAAGTTATAGCACAGTCTTTCCTGTACTGAAGAGGTACACAGTTCAGGGTGAAAAAGCTTACAGGAAGGGAGTTTGCATTTTCCTGTTGTCATATGGGCACGGCATTTTCTAGGTGATCATAGTTGCACGTCCCGTCTGTTTTTCCAGATTTCCCATGCCTGCAGATACCAAGTGCATAGTATGTGCACAGGCTTGGTTTCCGTTTCCCTTGGGTTTCTGTGACTGTATTCCCTGTTGGTGCATGTTTCCCTGTCTTATTCCTATCCTCCCTAGCACCAACAATGGAGCTCCCACCTGTTGTTTTTGGTAATATATCCTCACTATTGCTAGTGGAGTCCTCTTGTTTGCTATTTCCTGTGGTATTTCTAGTTTGCAATATTGGTTTTATCTTATCTTTGACTACACTTGTTTCCCCACTACGGCTCCTGTCCCCTATGAGGTCATTTATATGTATTCCTTCCTGCGTAAAATTCCCGACTACCTGGACAAAATCTCCAGCTTCACCATTACTGTGTCCCAGGACAGCACCTCCCGCTTCACCATTACTGTCTCCCAGGTTATAAAACTTAATGCAATTGCACGTTTTCACAATCCATTTAGATCTGTTTGTATTTACTTCTAGACACTTAGTAAGGTTCATTGTGACAGTGTCTGGTTCATTTCTTAACATTCTAATACCGAGTACAGTGTTAATCTCAACAATCCTATCACTGATACTAGAAATACCAAGCTCCTTCCTCATATTAAGAACCTTTGTAGATTTGGGACAACCAAGAATAATTTATTTTGCATTAACTCCAAGGGTCGGAGATAACTTTCTCTAGCTAATATCAACATGGGAGCAGCATAATCAATTAAGGACCTAACATAGGCTATGTACATCATTCTCACATTAGCACCAATTAATCCACCATAAGATATAAATATTATATAGTTTTCGAGGAATTGCACTTAAATTTTTTTTATTAATTTTAATAAAAAAAATAGTATTTAATAAATCGATGTTTAAATTAAATTGTCTTTTAAATTATTCCAATATAACAAGTGTTGTCTTAAAAAATTTATTAATTTTAACAGAATTAACATGAATTTTGGTAATAGTGTGACTTATAAATGGTCCTCATCGGACTGAAACGTTATAAGCTTCTATGTGCGAATTATTTGTGTAATGAACGTAAATTTTGCTAAATTAGTATATAACTTTTAGAGGGATGGACAGATACCATGACCAAAACTCCAGTGGCTGTCAGGAGACAATTGTTGCTGTTCTGCTTCCTGACAAATCTTACTTAACCTGCAGAGGTCTACCTGGAGAGAGTTCCGGGAGTCAACGCCCCCGTGGTCCGGTCTGTGACGAGGCCTCATGGTGGATCAGGGCCTGATCAACCAGGCTGTTACTGTTGGCCGCACGCAACATAACATATGAACCACAGCCCAGCTGGACAGGTACTGACTAAGCAAAACTCACACCTCTACAACACTATTGTTATCAAAGATTTGTTAACTTATACTTATTTACTTACTTACTTACCATGAATTAAGGAAAGATCCTGGACTTCACCTTACGAAACAGACGGAGCAAACGCTATAGTAATTATGGACAAGGTAGATAACAGTGGAAAAATAAACATGATATTAGGAGACAGGGGAACTGAGGCGCCTCTTGAGCAACCAGAAAATTTATTTCACGACATTTCACCTGAAATGGGACTCCAAGTGCTTGATAAATTCCCTATTTGCATGAAGTGTAGTTCCCTCTGCTTAAACCTCTCTTTGAATTATTCCTTCTTGGCTTATGCCCTTCTCTACCAGTGTGGGATTATTAGTAGTACCAAACTTGCACACGAAAATCACTTCCTATGAAAGCAAAAGACTCGGCAGGAGATGTAACATTCCCCCAATGAAAAGCAGGGGCGCCACGAGTACACTGAGAGACAACACAATAGGTGTCAGGGTCCCAAGACTGCTCAACTGCCTCCCAGCATACATAAGGGGGATTACCAATAGACCCCTGGCTGTCTTCAAGAAGATGCTGAACTGGCACCTAAAGTCAGTACTTGACCAACCGGGCTGTGGTTCGTACGTCAGTTTGCGTGCGGCCAGCAGTAACAACCTGGTTGGTCAGACCCTGATCCACCACGAGGCCTGGTCTCAGACCGAGCCGCTGGGGCGTTGACCCCCGAAACCCTCTCCAGGTATTATTATTATTATTCACGGGAAACTGCTAAACACGGTAATGATATTGACAACCCATGGTGTGGGCCTCACTGCTGCTGATGAGGAGATAAAAGTAGGGTACTCTCCCCTTCCTTAGCTTAAACCTGATTCCCTCCCATTCTCTAGGCACTCTGTGACTTACGGGTCCAGCGCTCCCTTATAGATACAGCTGCATTAATTTTTCTTTCTGAGTTAACCTTCGTTAACGACAGTCTGGAGGGGCGGATTCCTGAAGAAATTAAACCTTTCTTTTCCAGAGCCTCATTGTCTCTGAAGAAGGATGGGGAAATCAAACCCATCGCTGCTGGTAACTCTTCGCCGTCTCGTCGCCAAAGCAGCAGTAAGAAACATTCCAATAAAAGCCGCCAGCTTACTCCAGCCAGCGGAAGGCCTCAGTCAGATGACCAAAGCTCCAAAGGCGGGTCATTTTCTGACTAAGACCCGCGTCAGGAAACTTGTCCTGTTTCCTGACGAACCTTACCTAACCTAACCTTACTCCAGCTATATCAGCTGGGCTTTGGGGTCTCTCAAGGCAGAGAAGCTACAACTCACGCAGCAACAGCCTACATCAGGGATTTACCAGGAGACAAGACTTTAGTCAAACTACACTTTAGGAATGTCTTTAATAAGGTGAAAAAAGATGTGATCTTGCCAGCTGGTCGAGAGCAGTTCCCCAGCCCTTTGCCCTTTATTTCAGCTAGCTACAGCAAAACTTCAATTCTTTTATTTTGGTGAGCATGAAATCCCCTCATCAGAGGTGGCTCAGCAGGGTGACTCACTCGCTCCGTTTGTCTTCTGCTCGGTGGTAAGAAAACTAAGTTTATTCAGGTATACACAATTGCAGTTACATAGGTTATCATACATAGAATATGTGTAAAGAACCCAGGATAACTCAAAAAAAGTCAAAGTGACTTATTTCCACTGGGGTCCTTTTAATACTTATTATTATTATACTATGAAGGAGATAATATCTTATTATTATACTATAAAGGAAATATACTAGGAATAAGGTAAAATAAGTTATTTATATTTACACGTGTGTCAGCAAAAAAAAATCATTCTCCTCCCTTTCTGTTGCTATATTTATTAAGTAGTCTGAGTAATCTAAATCAGCTGACATTTTATTATTATAAATATTCCCGTATATCATGAGAAAGCACTAAACCCAGAGGTCATACAGCGCCAGGGAAATGAGAGGCAATCTAGTTCGATTCGAGGAAGAGCAGGGTAGCCCCATTTTCTTAGATCAAAAGCCCTTACCTGGCATTTAGGGAATGAAACTGTTAAACTAGGTCAGGTTAGGTGAGGCTTGTCAGGAAACAGGATAAGTGTTTCCTGACGCTGGTCTGAGTCATATGATGACCCACAGCTGGAGCTTATGGTCTTCTGACCGACGCCTTCCGTTGACTTACCCCTCCACCCCCTTTAAAAATTATGGTTATGACTCATTGTTCATAATTAATACGTTCCTTGACGTTGGTGAGGGGCTCTTGATCTAAGGAATTAGATCTGTGCTCCAGTTCCCTGAATTAAGCCTGAATACTTTCCACATCTCCCCCACCGGCGCTGCATAATCCTACGGGTTTAGCGCTCCCCCTTGATTATAATAATAATATAGTTAATACATTTAAGAATAGACTACTATCAAACTATCTTACCTGGTCCGTTTGGTTGTAGACGCAGACGGGGCCCATTGCAGTCTTCCATTGCAGTAAGGGCTGTCCCTGGACACAATAAGCTTCCCTTCGAAGCCCTGCTCGGAGCTAAAGAGTGGCGGGTCTTTCTTTTCTGGCGGGGAAGTGCTGGCACTGTTTGGGTCATCGGCCTTGATTTCTTGCAAGAATGACTGCAGAAGGAAGATGGTCACCACCGCCGTAGCTCTCATCGTGGCCATACTGGCTTGCGACTTCGCCATCATCCTGAACGGCAAAGGTTTTCTTTTTAATAGTCTTGGGTGTTCCTTATCTCTAGGAGCATGTTGGGCCCCACTCACCCGAAGTTTATTATATGTGGGGCAATCAGGAGCTTCGGTGGTCCCAAACGCACTTCGGGGATCAAAATTACACTAAACGAGTTGTCTCTAGGGTCCCAGCTACACTACTGCCAACAGTTGTAAGGACCCCAACTACACTGTCACCAAAGAACTTCGGGAGTCAAAGTGAGAACGAAGGTTTAATGGTATGCTAATTTTTCTCCATCAGGTGTGCTGATGTGGCGCAGCAGAAGACGTGAGAGGTGACCCGTTCGTGCACACCCTAGGAAGGAAACAGAGAACTTATGTGGCTGTGCCCTATCAGCTTCCTCGTTCAGGATGAGATAAGCAAACACTGATACACAACCGACGTCACACACACACACACATGACAGGACAGATAAGGGGAATATGATAACGACATATAAAATACTGAGAGGAATCGACAAGGTGGACAGAGACAGGATGTTCCAGAGATTGGACACAGCAACAAGGGGACACAGTTGGAAGTTGAAGACTCAGATGAATCACAGGGATGTTAGGAAGTATTTCTTCAATTACAGAGTTGTCAGGAAATAGAATTTTCTGGCTTGCTTCCCTTCTCTCTTCGGTGTGATTTGTTAACTGTCTAAATTGGACAGAAACGTCGTCATTATTTTCCCCCTCCTGAGTACAGGTTATTTGTGTATTGGATACACCTGCAGTGTGCAGCTGCCTTATTCTGTAGAATTACATAGTGGAAGTGATTTGCATGCATAACTGAAGACATGAATAATGGAAAACATAGTGTTGTACCATATACTTGTAGAAATAATAATAATAATAATAATAATAATAATAATAATAATAATAATAATAATAATAATAATAATAATAATAATAATAATAATAATAGTCTTAAGACAGACCATTGCCCAAAACTTGGCCCCTGGTCACACATAATCAGAATAATACCAGCAGTACAAGCTAAGCTCACAGACAAAGACACGTTTAAAATACTTTATTTATGAATCATTCTCGAGTATGCAGCACCACTGTTGAACCTCTCCTCTAGTACAACACAAAATGGAACTCCGGAGATTATAAAGAGTACATGCAGATTGGTTCCTGGGACGAAGAAATAATGTGTGGGCCTTCCACCAGAGGATGAATGAGAAACAAGAGAGAATATGACTAAAACCGACATAAAAAATATATTCCAAGATAGAGATGGGGTCTTATCCAGAGATGCAGTACGGAAAAATTACACATTTAAATCAGCTACTGGGATATCAGCAAATATGTCATCAATATAAAGTAGTAAAGAAGTATGATTAACTAGACTGACAGTAGTGATCAGTGAGGAGATGGGGACCAGGAGCTGTGGTATGACCTCTGCAGCACAAATAGGTAGGTACAATGGGAGTAAACTCCTTACAAAATTAAAAAAAAAGCGTGACTAGACTAAGTTTAGTTAATCTTTATTTCTATAAGTATATTTACATAAAGAATATAGAACTTGAAATAATTTAAAAATAGTTAACCATATTGCAAAATTTTATAAATAATAAAAATAAATTATAGACGAAGTAAATTTATTTATATAAAAGAATTAAATTTTACCAAAAGTAATTCAATTCAAATTCAAATTCAAAGTTTATTATTATTATTATTATTAATAGTTAAGTACATAATTTTATATTAAATTGCTATAATAATTTTAAAGTGTATCAGGTATTTAATTTCGGAATTTATTAAATACTACTACAGTGTATTACTCATTGGATCGACACCATGCCCAGCCCTTCTAGGGTAGGGTAGGTGCCTGAGCCCGAGCCTTTAGCTCATAAGACTGTCATTCCCATTTGCCCCCTTAGGGCGGGGATGGCAGACCAGAGAGGCCTAGCTTGTGGCTAGGCCTGGGGACAGTTGGTCCCAAAGATGAGGAGGTACTTGTGCCTCCTCCCATGGGAGACTTAGGTCTCAGACACTCCCTAAAGAGGGAGCCAAGGCCGGGCCACCACTTGGACAAGGCCCGGGCCGGGAGAATACCGGCTAATCTTTAACTAACTAACCTAACTAACTAACTATTACTCATTCACAGAGGTTATAAATGACCATAATTTTTAAAGGGGTGGACCGGTAAGCCAGCGGAAGGCCTCGGTCAGATGACCAAAAGCTCCAAAGGCGGGTCATCATCTGACTAAGACCCGCGTCAGGAAACATTTGTCCTGTTTCCTGACGAACCTTACTCAGTCACATATACACATACACAAATCTTCCCCTCTGTATTTATTTATTTATTTAGCAATGTAAATGTTACAAAATATGTGTGAAATAAGGGATCGATTTAAACCTTGAAAATTCTGAGTTAATAACTCAGGGTAACTCAAGAAAACTAAATTAAAGGATATTTTATTCAGTTCGTCGGGGTGTCTTGATGCGATGGAAAGCTCTTGATCCAGATAACCGGAGCACCCTCCTTTCTCTTGGATCAAACCTGATTATCTCAAATTCCCAGCTACTGTATGGCCCATGCGGATTTAGCGTTATTGTTTAATAATAATAATAATTAATAATAATGTAATAATAATAATAGTCATTGAGGGAGGTGTGGGTGTTCCTGAACACATCGACTCCAGACTGAGGGACTGATTACCTCAAACTCCTCATTTTCCACCTTTTCCTGTATTGGACTGATGAAGCCACTGTGTGGCGAAACATTTCCTCAATAAAGAAACCCAAATGTTGCACAAGTGTCTCATTGATCATCATGGGCCAGTAGGCCTGCTGCAGTGCCCCTTCTTACTTATATTCTTATGGGGAAGCGCTAAACCAGTAGAGGGTTGCAGAGCTCCTTAGGGATGAGAGGTCATTGGGTCTGATGCATGGAAGGGGAGGATAGCTATAATTTCATGGATCAAGATCTTATCACCAGCCTCAAGGCACCTGTAAAGGTCAGGTAGGGGAGACAGAAGTCCTATCAGCCATCTGAGGCAGACAATATGCTCTCTGATATGAGAGCAGAAGTATGATCAGACAAGAGTCATCTCTCCAAGGTCAAGACAGATAAATTACTGTTACGAGGCTCATGTCACTCTCAGACCATGGACGGAATTGGAGTAGAGAGTACACTGTTAGTTTAATACCTTCATTATGCACCCCATACCCGTCCTGTGGGCTACACAGTACACTCACTCTCTGGAGCATCGCTGTATGACCCTAGTGGGTTTAGTGCTTCTTTTTTATTGTGAAAATTACAATCAGTCCATTGACATAGCATGTAACCTTTACCTTTGATGAGTTTCGAGAGTTTTTCTATTCCTAGCCATGGGCCAGGCTCGTCTGGTGCTTGCCTGCTCAACCATGCTATTGCTGCTGGTGGCCTACTGACCTAGTCTCAGACCACTGGCACAGCATGTCACTCTGAGTAAGTTTATTCAGGTATACACAGAGTTATATAGATTATTATACATAGCAGTATATGTGTATAGAACCTAGGATAACCCAGAGAAAGCCAGACAAAGTGACTTATTTCCAGCAGGGTCCTCACACACACACACACACACACACACACACACACACACACACACACACACACACACACACACACACACACACACACACACACACACACAGATAGAACAGGCCTAGTGTCTAATCGACATGTGCCTAGGACAAGATGGTAACTAACACACACACGTGGTAATGCTTTATTTACATGGAGCAAAGTCAGGGTATTTTTCCAGAATGGTCTGTAATATACCAATGTGGGTAAAATACATATCTTGAACATTTCCGAGTGAGTTGTTTCTAAATTCATTAATTTTATCGCACTCCAGTACATAATGACGCAGGGTGTGACAACAGTCCATCTGGCAAACTTTGCATTTCGTTTGGTCTACATCTGGTGGTGATGATTTAACCTTTCAAAGATACTTGTAACCCAGCCGGAGCCAGGCTGGGTTACAAGAGTTGGCTTATCTTGTTGGATGCACCATAGACATGTGGCTCCTCCTGCATGATAGAATGATGATAGATGGACTGGCTGGTGTCAATCTTCCTGAGTTTTAAGTCAATAAAATTCAGTTGAAGTTCTTTTCGTATTATTGTTCTCAAACTGCTACCTGACAAGACTGTAATCTACCTCTTCTTGGAAAGCATACAGCTTAGCCAATTTATCAGTGCTACCAAGCATCTGAAGACCAATGTGAGATGGAATCCACAGCATGTGCACTGACTCCACTATCCACAATCCTACCATACCTGTGTCTGGCTTCTGACACAAGCATGCCACAATTTATACTTAATGAGTTGAGACCATTTGTGAATAACAGAGAATCAATTACAATTAAAGTGTCAACCTTAGATACATGGATGCATTTGAGTGCAAGGAGTATGGCAAACAGTTCTGTCTGAAGGGTAGAGGCCCAATTATTGATATGTGCTTCAACTTCATTAAGAGCCATCACTCTGTATGACAACAGCAGCACTACCAGCTGCACCAGTGGTTTGGTGAACAGAACCATCAACGTAAATAATTTGTGAGAGTGTGTGCTGTGTGACTAAGTTATCAATACAGCTTAAGGCATCATGTTTGGCTTCAAGGCAAAGCTTTGGTTGTGATTTAAGAAGTAGTTTGGGGGGAAATGGAGGGACGGTAGTTTGGAATGGGGTAATATCCCGTGGAGCGGAGAAGTGCTGCTGTTGCCTTACTTGACATAAATCATGTATCTGGTTCATGCGAAAGTTGGTTCCAGTTTTTCGATCCATCTGGAGGGGTGTTCACCAGTGCCGAGGAAAGTTTGGAGGGCTTCTGTGCAGGGGTTTGAATGGGCTTGCCTGAGCATATTATTTATTATTATTATAATCAAAAAGAAGCGCTAAGCCACAAGGGCTATACAGCTGCCTGAGCATATTAACTCCAATTAGGACATTTCTTTCAGTAACATTATCTCTGATGCTTGGTATATTAAGTAGTGCATTTGGCTCACATCTGAAGAACCTGGGTTCGACCATGGCACCATTGTAAAACAATGGACATGCTTTCTAACTCTTGTTTCCGTTGTTCACCTTGGGTGTAAGCCAACTGTTGTGGGTGGCATCCTGGGAAAGAGGATCACAGGACCCCAATGGGAATAAGCCACGCTTTAATGGATTCTCCTGGGTTGTTAACCCTCTGGGTTTAATAAAAAGAATAAAAATCCTCATGCACGAACTAGATTGTTAGATTAGATAAGTGACTCTTGGGATTTGATGTGCTGTTGGAGTGTGAGCGAGGGAACATCTGTGAGGGGATGCAAG